AAGTAATCTCTCCCCCATTGACTCTTCACTTTCCTTATTATATTAATAAGTACTGAAGCTGCATCTACAATGAATCTGGACAGTCCAACCAGGCTGCCCAAGTGGTGCTTATCCACTTGATGCACACCTCTATTGCACCGGCTGTGTACTCCAAGTAGCCAAGTGGGCACTCTGGAACTTGTCACACAACCTTAAAATAAACGTCTAAACCAGGGCAAGAATAATCTCTCCCTACATGTCCACATTGCTGCCAAAAGAGCATGTGCACTCACACATGCGAGCACACTTAATTTCCTGTTTGGAAACAAGGAAAATAGCAAAGGGCTTAAATGCTGGCAATTTCAGTGGAAAGCCATGATAACACCTAAAGGAACACAAGGTCGTATCAGCAGTTATGCGAATTTTTTACGTCCACATTCACTACAAGGCGCCTCAGGAGGTTTCCATCCTGGAAGATAGCTTTACAGAAGGCAGGTTAGAGGCTTTGTCTCATATTGAAATGTCAGGCAAAAAGAAAAGAGAACGAATCAATAAACAAAAAGTTGCCAGGACTAAAGAGTGGTTGCTCAAGAATCCTCAGAGTGGTAGTAAAAAGGCAAAACTGAATGTTAGGATTTGTTAGTAAAGGAAGAGAGGATATAAAAGGGACCATCATCATGCCAGTGCATACAAGCGTGCAAGAACATCACATGCCATTAGCGCAGAGATTTGTAACAAAAGGCTGGTTTTTTCCACCCAACATAATTAAACTGTACAAGTCACAGCCATGAGTTGCCGTGGATACTAAAACCATTGGATATATTCACAACAGAAATACACCACAGCTTCTTAAATCCAAAGGTAAAACCTTTGGCTCAGGAAATCCCCCAGCTGCAGATTGCTAGACGCCCAGAAGCTAAATCAGGGTTAGAATCACTGAAGCTTGCCCTGTTTTTATTCTCTTTCCTAAGGATTTGCTACTGGCCATTGTCCCTGCTGGATTCCGTCAGAAAAGATGGCTCCGAGCCTGAAAAACAACTAAGGGCCTTCTTGGGAAGAGCGCCAAACACGCATGCGGGAGGGGAAACTAATGATCGGTGGATGCTGCCCAGCAGCGCTGTGCCCAGCCATGCAACAACACGAGCAAACAAACAAAAAAAAAGACCTTAAAATTGCCAGGACCCCTCCTGCTTCAGCCACCTCTTGTGCTCCACGTGAACACCCTGGCCAGGGCTGGGAGGAGGCCGACAACAACGGTCTGTGATTTTTGTGGCATCTCAGGTGGCAAGCGTGCAAGAGCAAAGCACCAGAGAGAAAAGGCAGCCCATATCTCAGCAGCAGGGTCTGGCAATCAGAAAAAGAGGTTTTGACCAAGCACTCTCAAGCTGTGTGTGTATCCAAGGTCATCTTTCCCCCCCCGAAATCAAGGGGGGTGATCTCTGATGCACACACACCAGTTCCGACCATCCCATGACAGACTGCAAGTACCATGGAACAGAGACTTCTTGTAGCCACGTGGAGGGAGATTTTTGTAAAGACATTTTTGGAGCAGAGTTTGGAGACAGACCTGGTGGATGTGAAGCTATGCTGGTGATTTCCTAGGGTGCTCCAGAGGCTCCCAAAGCAGGAGTCATATCGGGAGCTGCGGAGAGTTCAGTACTAGAGGAAACTGTCCTCCCACAGGACGTGAGAAAGGAAAGTGTCATGAACATTAAAGCTTTAACTTTAACCACGTTCCTGGAGAAGGAGATGGAAAACACAGCAGGGCACTGTTTGGTGCTATATGGGGTGCCCTGACCATGGCCCAGGTGTCTGCCCAGACCAGCTGCACTAAGTGGGCATAGCCTGGGCTAGAGAAGATCCTTACGCTGGGTCCCCATGCTAGAACAGCTACTGAATGGAGCTGCAAGTTGCTGAGGAGGTCCTGGCAGGAGAACAGCAGCTTGGAGATATCTCCCAGGTGACATCTCAGCCAGAGGTTTAAAAGCTGCCAGCTGTACCAGAGCCCTCAGACAGCAGAGGCCAAGCACACATGTTCCATGCCCTCACCACCCCCTTCAGAGCCTAGAAACAGAGCCTGGCAAACAGGCATCTGTAAAGACACAGGCTAGCACCACCAAACCACCAAACCCTGGGATTTCCATCTGTAACATGGCCAGGCTCAAGGGAAAGGGTGGCCAGGCAGCACTGAAATAGCAATTGTACAGGGCTAGGCAAGGACCAGAGCCTGCTGTTGGAGCAAAAAAAGAAATGAGACATCACTGTAAGTGTTGAGATGCCTTGGCTTCCCATTTGATCCAAAAGCCCAGCAAAGGAGGAGCAACAGCAGGGAGGCAGACGCCCAGACATCTGCCTGCAGCGGAGCACGGGGAGGAAAGAGCACCCATCCCCTGCCATCAGCACAGCGCTCACAGCCCAGCCGGGATCAGCTACTACCCCACGAGAAAGGTACTAAGCTGAAACTTAGCATAAGGATTTTGGCTTTTGACCATAGAGTAGCTGTGCTAAGTTTCTTTCATTCTCTCAAAATGAGATGTGAGCAAGTCATGACAACAGCTGCCAATGTGACAGCAATATCACAATGTGCTAACACAAACAGCAGCATTATCTCATTTGACCAGGTACAGACCAAACACCATAATTTAAGTGCTTTGCTTTATGCAAAGCTCACACCATGTTCTAAATCACATCTGTTGCATTGCCACATAGCCAGTCACATCATTTAATCGCTTGAACACAGCAATCAGAATGTAAAAGTTAACAGAAGGGAAGAAGGAATGGGGTGGAGGGTGGGCAAGGAAAGTCGCACAGAAATGCCCAAGCACCGTGTCAGCTCCTGCCGCTGAGCCAGCGGCCAGTGCTGGAGGAAAGGTATGGGTTGGGGGGGCTTGGTTGTCCGGCCCACCCTATCCTGCAGGCAGTACCCAGTGAACTGGGGGCTTCCTAGGGCTTGATGGGTATGTGGAGCTCAGCAGGTCACATGAAAATGGTGTGGCTTGGGGGAGCTGCAAGCCAAAACTGGAAGATATGGCCATGGAGGCCAGCCTGGCCTCCAGGAGGGAAAGGGAAACCTGAGCTGGCTCTAGTTTGCTTGTCTGGAGCTCTGTGCCTGTGAAAGATGGCTTTGAATTTGGCCCTTGCCTAAACAGTGTCTGTGACAAGCAGGATGAATCCTCTCCGGATGTGTCTATCCCCACTAATGACAAAGGGAACCTAAATGGCCTGGACTAGCCTCAGCACTCCCAGGTGGCTACAGTTTGGTGAGACAAATCCTCACCTTTGGACGTGGCAGTGATGAACTATTTCCAGCAGTTCAGCCCGATGCAGAGACCCCAGAAGCTGGGTTCAGGCTGTGCTGGGTTTGCTCTTCCCAGCACACTTGATTTCCAGTCCTGGACCACCGAAGTGCATGTTTGGGAGTCCCAGGAGAGGTGCTGCACACAGGGAGCAGTGTCACTTCTCATCTAGTGCTCCACAGCAGCTGCTGTTCCCTTGAGCAAGGACACCAAGAGTGTTTTTCACTCCCATCTCGTAATTTAGAGGAGCCTCAGCTCCACTCAGGAGCTCATACTACCAGAAATCGCTGTTTGAAGAACTACCGATGTTCATTTCTGCCGAGTCTGAATCTCAGCTAGTAGTAGATTGGATTCCCAAACTGCACATTTCCAAGTGCTAGAAGACACTGAAACATACTACTAAATACAAGCCTCTGTGCAAACTGCTTGGAAATCATCTTCCTAATGATTTTTTTTCCTACGTAGACTACTTGATACTTTTCTTTGCAGCTCTTTCGGCAGCATTAGACTCCCTTGCTGTACTCATGCCTTTCTTCCTGACCTGCCCACACATACACAGAAAGTGCCAAAACTACAGCGCAAGCCCGAAACCAGCAAAAACAGGATTAGCAACATCCTCACAGAGGCAAGAAAGTGTTAAACTCTGTTCTCGGGACTGAATGGATCAAGTTGCTAATTGCTAACAGCTGGCTGTAGGAGAATAAAATCCTGTTACAATCATTGTGAGAGTGGAAAAAAAAAAATCTACTTGCTGAAAAACTCACTAAGAAATGCAAAAGAGGGCAGTTTTTCCCAATATACCCAGCAGATACCATGTCTTAAAAGCCAATCCATCTCTCCGCAGAGAAACAGCTCACTGTGACCCAGCGCAGCAAGGGGCCTGCGAGCAAAAGCGCTGGGCACAGCGGGCGCAGGAGGGAGCTATTCTTTAGTGATGTGCATGAAGAAGGTGGGACTTGGAGCTCCTCCAGGTACTGTTCTCCCTCCAGAGATCCATTACGGAGGTCTGGCATGTTTGCAAGCCTCTCTAGATCCCAACTGAAACAGGCATTTGTTTTAACTGGTTCCTTCACAGATCATTACCTCGGAGTGGGACCTTAGGGTTGGCTGCAGGAATCCCATTACAGATGCCCAGCACCACGCCAAGAAACTCCACAGTCAGGATCAAGACTTATAGCTGTGTGTATGATGCACTCTATGCATTACAAGAGGATCCATCCTAAATCAAGTACCCTCAGAAGAGGGTTCAGGAACAGTCAGAAGGACTTGATGGTATCTCCTAGCATTCCTAAGGGAATTCAACGAAGAAACAGCAAATCTACTAACCGGGACAATATCTGAAGCCTGAAGAAATAGAGGCTGGAAAGTGTGATTTCCATTTTTCTGATTCCAGAATTATGGTGGAACATGTCTCTT